TATACTACATACAACCTGTCTCAACAAATTTGAAAGAACTGAACAGTGCAGATTGCTTTTACACCAAAATGAAATTAAACTAAAAATTAATAACAAAAAGGCAACTAGACAATCCTCATACGTTTGGAAATTAGGACAGTCTACTTCTCAAAGAAACAATAAAAAAATTACATAAGAAAACTCAGACATTCCTCAGGGAGTACTGAGAGAAATTCATAGCCTTAAATGCTCATATTAGGGGGAAAAAACCTGAAATGGATATGCTAACCAGATCTTTAAAGAAGTTTGAAAAAGAGTAGCAAGAGAAACCCAAAGAAAGTGTAACAAATGATGGGGCGCCTGGGTGGCTTAGTCGGTTAAGCGTCCGACTTTCGCTTAGGTCATGATCTCGCGGTTCGTGGGTTCGAGCCCCGCGTTGGGCTCTGTGCTGACTGCCAGCTCAGAGCCTGGAGCCTGTTTCAGAGTCTGTGACTCCCTCTCTCTCTGATCCTCCCCTGCTCACGCTGTCTATCTCTCTCTCTCCTAGAAATAAATAAAAAACATTAAAAAAAAATTAAAAAAAAGTGTAACAAATGAAATAATAAAGAGTAGAAACAAATGATATTCAAAAATACAATGCATACAATAAGAGAATCATCAAAGCCAAAAGTTGGTCTTCTTAAAGTCCACTAGATTGGACAAACCTATGGCAAAATTTGTTCAAGGGGGGGTGGAGGAAGAGAGAGAGAAACCATAATTACACAACAGTAGGAATAAAAAAGGGACATTAGCACATATACTGTAGATAAAATGTTATGAATTTTGTCCCAATAACTTTGAAAATACAAATGAAATTGACAAATTCCTACAAATATAAAATGTTCTAGAGCGACTCAAAAAGAAATAAAAAATGAAGTCATATAACTGCTTTTAAAAATGGAATTCACAGTTAAAATTTTTCCCACTGAGAAGGCTTTTGGCAGAGATAGCATCGTTGGTAAGTTGTACCAAATATTGAAGGAGCAAGTACATAATTCCAATTTTAAAAAAGCTCTTCCAAAAAATATAAAAAGAGAGAATGTTCCTCAGCTTTCTGAAGACAGCAGACTGGGAAAACTTTGTCCTAAAAACAAAACAAAACAAAACAAAAACAAAAACAAGGGAAATTACAGGACAACTGAACTCCTAAACATAGGCAAAATCTACACAAAACATTAGCACACGAAATCTAGCCTTGTATTTAAAGGAGAGTCAACTTGTGTTTATTTCAGGAATGTTTATTTGTGTAAAAGACAATGTAATTCACTACGTTAATAAAGAAACTCATAAGATCATGTCAATGAAGAAAAGCCTTTGATAACATCCGTTCATGACCTCCGCCCCCCTCCCCCCCAAAACAAGCACTCTTAGCAAACTAGGCATACAAGGGAAGCTCTTTCACCTGATAAACAGTTTCTATAAAACCTGCATCAAATAACATATGAAATGAATACTGAAAAGCCATCTCTCTGAGTTCAGCAATAACACTAGAATGCCTACTAAACCACTTCTATTTAATATTGCACTGGAGGCTCTAGCCAGCTTAAGAAGACCAAAAGAAAAAAAAGGATGATTAATATTTAAAAGTACAAGGAGTGAGGGGTACCCGGCTGGCTCAGTCAGTTAAGTGTCCAACTTTGGCTCAGGTCATAAACTCGTGGTTCATGAGTTCAAGCCCTGTGTCGGGCTCGGTGCTGACAGCTCAGAGCCTGGAGCCTGCTTCGGATTCTGTGTCTCCCTCTCCCTCTATTCCTCCCTTGCTCACACTGCCTCTCTCTCTCTTTCTCTCAAAAATAAAAGTTTACAAAAATTAAAACTAAAAGTATAAGGAGTGGGAGGGAAGAAATAAAACTACCATTATTTGCAGGTGATATAGAAAACCTAAAAAAAATCTGAGTGCAAATTACTAAAATTAATAAGCAAATTAGGCAAGATGATTAGACAGTGGATTAAAATACAGAAGCAATTTGCATTTCCACATACCAGCAACACACTGTTAAGAAACAATTCAATAACGATACCATTTGCATGACTGTATACATTTGCCAAAACTCATTGAATTGTACACTTGAAGTGAGTACCTTTATCGTATGTAAATTATATCTCAAAAAAAAAAACTGTAGGAAAAAAGGTACCATTTGCAACAGCAACAAAGATATAGAAGAATTTTTAAGAGTACTGAAGAATTAATCTATCATATGTAATAACTTTCTGAGGAAAATATGAAGCTTTACTTAAAGGCACAAAATGATATATTTTTTTAAATGTTTATTTTGAAAGAAAGAAAATGAGCAGGGGGGTGGCAGAGAGAGAGGGAGAGAGCCCAGTGTGTGGCTTGATCTAACGACTATGAATGAGATCATGACCTGAGCCAAAATCAGGAGTCGGATGCTTAACTGACTGAGCCACCCAGATGCCCTGGCACAAAATGATATTTAAATAAATGGAAAGATGTAACACATTCATGACATGGAAGACTTAATACTATGGGTGGCTTAGTCGGTTAAGCGTCCGACTTTCGCTTAGGTCATGATCTCGTGGTTCGTGGGTTAGGGGCCCGCGTCGGGCTCTGTGCTGACTGCCAGTTCAGAGCCTGGAGCCTGTTTCAGTCTGTGACTCCCTCTCTCTCTGACCCTCCCCTACTCACGCTGTCTCTCTCTCTCTCTCTCCTAGAAATAAATAAAATATTTTTAAAAAAATACTATAAAGATACCAATTCTCCCCTATTTGATCTTTAGATTCGATGAATCTCAGATCAAAATCCCAACAAAATTGTATGAGGGACTCAATAAACTGTCAATAAAATTTATACAAAAGAGCAAAGGGCAAAAAATACACAAGATGTTCTAAAAAAAATACTCCTTACTCTCTTACAGTAATTAACAGAGCATGATGTTGGCATGAGGGTAGACAATTTGATCACAGGAACAGGAGAGCCCAGAACCAGACAATACACATCTGGACACTTCATTTATGACAACCATGGCACTGTAGGCCGGTGGGAAAATGACTGATCTCTCGATAAATGGCTTTGAGACAAGTTATTATTCAAATGCAGAGAGAGAGAGAACTGGATATTCTACATCACACCATATGCAAAAATCCATTCAACATAAACTAAAAACATTAGTGAAAGGGACATCTTCAAAACTAAAAGAGAGAAAGAGAATGAGAAAACCACTACAATACTGGAGCAGCAAAAAAAATTTTTTTTTAATTAAAAAATGTAACAAACATTAACCAAAACAGGGAAAGGTTAACAAGTTTAATCAAAAAGAAGTATTACAAGCAATATGTAAAATTCACGATGGAACCCAGTGGGGAACAAAAGCATATATTTTTTTCCCAGCAAGAGGAAACCAAAGGACAAGCAACAAAAACAGTACAAGAAAGTGAATCCAGTTATAAAGCCAACAGGTGTAATTCTGAGTCGCCAGTGGTGTGGAAGGAAGAAGACCCCACTGCGCCCGGATGGGAGGCTAAGTGCCCAGGGAAGGGGGCGCCGCACCACGTGGAAGACCACACAGAACCAGACCCACTGTCTGACTCTGTGATGATATGAACTGTAAATGCTGTTACTGGGTTTTCAACTTTTAGATTTAACCCTTAATAAATCCCAGAAGACTCCGTTACGGTCACTGAAGAGAATAGAAATATCATCAGCTTTAACAATACAGAAGATAGACGACAGAAGTCAGGAGGCAAAAGGAGAAGGGAGAAGTAGACAGAAGGTACTAATTTCTTCAGTTCACACAGTTCAAGTCAAAAGAAGTTACAAGATAGAGAAGTTTAAGATTAGTATTTAAAACTACAAAGGTAAAAGTAAAATAAAATAATAGGTAATCAACTTTAAAAATGCTAATATAATTATGAAAAATTGGGATGGGTTGATATGTTTAGTTATAAATGAAACTGGTTCCTTACACAACAGAAGGAATTCAATAATGTCCAAAACTGGGAAGTCAAAAAATGGGACTCTGAATACATTATTTAAAGATATGGAGGTGTCCACTAGCAAATCTAAAACCCAGACAACGCATAACCAAGTGTGGGAGAAAGTGCTGCATTTCATTATATGCTCTTTGGTATTCTTTTTTTTTTTCTCTTTGGTATGCTTAATTTTTTAATTTATATGTATGTCTCATTTTAATAAAAGTTTTTCAGATTTTTGAATGAGAAAGAAATTAAAAGATCAAGAATGCTAAGTGCTTTTATTTAAGGAGGTTAAAGAAAACAGATCTCTATTCCAACAGAAAAACTCTCAACACCCAGTAAAGACTAGTGATCAAAAGCCTATTGACTTTATCCAGGAGGACATGTAACATCACCGTTTTATTCAAAGTGAAGAAACCAGTTGAGAGGCTGAATCTTAAAGTGTCACTGCTTTTCCTCTTCCTTATTCTTCCTCTTTCTCTACTCTTTTTTTTTTTTTTTCCTGTCCGGCTTTCTTTCATTTAGCATGAATATTCAAAGAAAATAAAAATAAAACACTAGTTTTATTCATAGAATACAATCTTGTGTTTCCTAATTTTCTCCCAACACACACACACACACACACAAAAACAAGACAAAAACAAATTAAGTTGATTTCATTTCCACATTGTCTGAACTACTTTTAAACACCTCTGTGGGCATTACAGCTGTAGAGAAGAAATCATCGCTACCACTGACTTAAGAAAGAACACACTAACAACAAAAGGTAACCTTGCTAAAACCAGCTCAATAATTACTCTTCAATATATTAAAATGTTTCTGTTGTGATCATTACATCACTCCGACTTCAGGGCTCAGGAGCTATCCTTCCATGTAAGTATTTAGGGTGATTTAAGTACATGAAATCTTGAAGTCTGAAGCTCCCCAAAGGTAAAGCACAAACCAGGAGGTTAAATGTTCATGGCAGGTGAAGTTGGTTGTGATCCAAAGGAATTCAGCAAGGCCTCCATTTCAGTATAATCCATACCCACATCCAGGCGTCTACTTACACTATATTTGCAAGGTCAAGTGGTTTCTCTGGTTGCTCAGGAAAAACAGGATGCGGAGGCTCTCTGGTGGGTACACACCCCAAAGATTTACTAATTGCGTGGCTCAGTTTCTTTGCAGGGGATTTCTGCATCAAAGTAGAAAATAAGGAAACAAGGAATTAAATCTTCAAAATGACGAAAAAGAATTTCACAGGAACTTGGTGGCAAGAACTGAAGAAAATATCTTTTGAATACAAGCTAAATTGCATTATAATCAACATTATCAGGCCTTACAGAATGGGACCTACAGCTATTCCGAGGTCATTTGTGGTCCTTCATTTCTACACTTACTCCCTCATTTCTACCATGCAGTCAGACTATAAAGTTACTGTTAACTCTCCTTTCGAACATCTCTCTGTGCCCTTTGCATAAACTCTCTCTTCTGATGCTTCTGGATCATTTTTGGTAAGATGTTACAGTTAATTTCCCAATCAGAGTCAGAAATTTTTGCTGGACTAAAATACTAAAAGGCTAAGATAATGCTGAGAGCTCGTGGCTTTTGAATGTTAGCAAATTAGCTGACTAAGTCACATCCCAAAACATGCCTATTAAGAGAATATTCCCAAAATAAACATGAGGCAGAACATTTGGTGCTAAGGGTCTGGCTATGTATACAGACACAGATGAGTGCCCTCACACACACAGGCATCAGCATCAAACTCGTGACTGTAAATTCAGATATGCTGAAGGTACAAGAATAAGTTGGCATACTAATACATTTCTCTGTAATGTAGAACCATACACGCCAAATCCAAAGACTATCAAGTCTAAGATTTAGCAGTAAATATACACAGCAGTAAACAATATGCCACAAATAAGTTATTCAGAACATTCACATTGGAAACGCATATATGAAGGAAGCTCTTAATATATTGATTTTATTGCCCACCCAATTCCCTTTAAATAACACATTTGTCTGAGATTTTCTTGGTAGGATGTAAACTCCAAAAAGCTGTAAATATTTCATTCTACTCTCTCTGCTGTGTATTACCATATGTAGCACTCTAATTGAAAAACAGAACTTGTTTGCAGCCATGTGCCTTATCAATATCACATCTCCACTTAACTTTTATACGCTGCTTGTATGTATTTAACACAAAATAAGCAAAACTCTTTAAGACGTTAAGCAAAGGCTTTTAAGCAAAAGCCTTTAAGACTTTGTAGGGAAAGTTAATTAACACCTTGTTTATAATACAGACTAAATAATACCAATTTCTTCAGAAACCTCATATATTGGCTCCAAATCACCTATCACTAACCCCTTCAGCACATTAAATTCTGGGCAAAGCTTAAACGTAATATTTCCTAAAAAGCATATAAAGCTAAACAGCAAAAACCTGAACATCCCCCATAAGTGTTCTCCATTTCCCCTGGGCCCAGCGATGGGCTGAACTGTGACGTGGTCCTCACCTCTGTCTTCTACAGTGCCCCCAGACCTCATGTCACTTTTCTGCCTAACATCTTTCAAAGACTCATAATCACTTACAGAATAAGATCTAAGTACCCATCATCACATTCCACACCATGTTCTCTTAGGTGCCTTTCTCAGATCACCTTTTGCCAGCCTATTTTTCTGTAAATTTTCTGCTCATCTCTCAAGACTGTGTGCAAGTCTTGCCCCAGGCCAACTTTTCTCACAGCCTTATAAGCCAGAGGCCACCTTTCCAAGCTACCCACTTGCTGTGCACAAATTTCCACTGTTATGCTTACAATGCTATCATGCTCTTTTTAATTTATGTGCCTATTTCTGTGAAACTGGTGCTCCTAAAAGGTGGGATCTACATGTTAATTATCTGTATAATTTCAGAATCTGTTCCATAATAAAATATTTTATTTGAACAATTTGCCTAGATGAATTTTCCGGACTGCTTTTTCCTGATCAAACCATATCATATACTCATTTTCTGAGTTACAACACAAGTAGGAGAGGACATCAGAGAATACCTTAACTCACCTTCACAACTAAACACTCCATCTGCGATCCAGGTATTAATGCTATTATTTTTGCTATGTCTGAGAACCCCCTGGGCCATTAATTCATGCATATAGGATTATCAGAGGCTGCTTTAGCTGCATCCTGAGCAAAAACAGCCATGAAATCACAAGTTTCACGTGTATATTTTGTAATAAACATTAAAATAACTACATAACAATTAAAATAAAAAATGGTTCCCTTTGTACCACCTAATAATCTCTAGCAGTGTGCTTGTAATGCTTTCTAAAATATTTCTTTAAAGTCAAGGTTTAAGATCAGATCCAACTTTGAGTCTCAAAAAATATAGATACGAAGGTAAAACTAAGACATCAAAGTCAATTCCAAATAATTAGAACATAATCATGAAGTTTGACATGTATGGAAAGGGAAAAAGACTGAGAATAAATACATGTATTTAGGAATTACAATATTAACTAAGGGCCAGGACCAAGCCAAAAAGGATATACTACTCTGAAAATGTTATTTATTTATTATTTTAAGTAGGCTCCACATCCAATGTAGGGCTTGAACTCATGACCCTGAGATCGCATGCTCTACTGACTGAGCCAGTCAGGTGAGGTGCCCTTACTCTGAAAATTTTAAAGACATGCATTCAATTAGGTTGTCTAAATATGTAAATAAATTATTTCCTTAAAAAGATAAATTATGATATGGACCTGAAGTGAATTTTGCTATCAAGTTTGCTTAGGAGCTAAGATTAATAAAGCCTGTAAGCACAAATCCAAAAACAGCCAGAAGCACCAAGATAGGACATTACTTCTCAGGCTCCTGGGCCACTATGACAATTCCCAGGACTTGGCAGTCAGTCACTAAATATTTACAGAAGTGAGGAAGGGAGTGAGGAAGGAAGAAAGGCAGGCCAGGTGCAGGGACTGCTGTCTTCCACATCTTGTTTAAGATACTCTGCAAGAGATGCCACTTTACATCTCTGTACCTTTCCCCTTACTTGGACTCTAAAACTAATAAATATATGGAGAGGCCTTAACCTAAAACAGTAAACCTCTTACAAACACTTTTTTTTCTAAATTTTTAATGTTTATTTATTTTTGAGAGAGAGAGACAGAGCGTGAGTAGGGGAAGGGCAGAGAGAGAGGGAGACACAGAATCCAAAGCAGGCTCCAGGCTCTGAGCTGTCAGCACAGAGCCTGATATGGGGCTTGAACCCACGAACCACGAGATCATGACCTGAGCTGAAGTCGGACGCTTAACCGACTGAGCCACCCAGGCGCCCCTTACAAACACTTTTAGGTGATGATTTTCTTTCTTTTTAAAAAAAATATTTTTTAAGTTTATTAATTCTTGAGAGAGAGAGAGAGAGATACAGAGCACGAGTGGTGAAGGGGTAGAAGAGAGAGAGGGAGACAGAATCCAAAGCAGGCTTCAGGCTCTGAGCTGTCAGCACAGAGCCTCATGTGGGGCCTGAACCACCAATATCATGACCTAAGCCGAAGTCAGGGGCTTAACAGACAGAGCCACCCTGGCGCCCAATCCACATTACTTAATTTCAAAACATTTCCTACCATCTCTGAAAAACACTATAGGTTACAATTTAAAAATAAATATCAGAATGTATAAAATGTGTACGTGTAGTTTAAAAAGTTATAAAACAAGTACCCACCCACCCACTAGTGTACCTGAGAAACAGAAATATGGTAGTCACTCTGAAGCCTTGCTCTGGGACCTTAGGCTAAGAGCCCCCTCCCACCATACCTGCTCCTCTTCGGGTAACCTGTATTCTGGATTTTGTATTAATCATGTCCTTGATCTTACTATTTTAGTGATTATGTATAAACACATTATTTAATACATGTTTAAAACCTATATAGACTCACATAAATATATTTTCTATAACTTGCTGCTCTCACTTAAAATTACATTACAAATCATCCCTATTGATACATGTGACATTCATTTTTTCACCAACTGATTATATTTCATTGCTTAATTGTATAATTTATACATTCATTCTATTGCTGATAAACATTTGGGTTGTTCCCATTTTTTCCCTCTCACTCACAGTGTTGCTATAAACTTTTGTGTCTATGTCTCCTGGTAGCCGTATGTAAGAGTTTCATCAGAGTGGAATTACTGGATCATGAGTTATGCCCACTGAATTTTACTAGGCACTGGCAACTTGTTTTTACAAAGTGGTTACACTAATTTCCATTCCCATCAGCTGTGTGAGAGACTTCATAAATCTCGACATTCAGGCTAACCCTTGTTATTGTCAGACATTTTAACATTTGCCAATCTAATGGGTGATAAATGATTTTCATTTGCAATTCCCTGATGGCCAAAAAATTGAGCATCCTTTCCAATATTTACAATCCATTTGGGTTTCTAATTCTGTGAATTAGAATTCTGTGAAATGCCTATTCCTGTCTTTGGTGTAGTGTTTCACAGGGTTGCCTTTCTCTGATGGATTTGTAAGAGTTCTTTTATTTTTTGTATTTGAACTCTGTGGAAGTTATGTCTTACAAATAACTCCTACTTTAAGGCTTGTTTTTGATGAACAGTCATCTTTTTTTTAGGAAGTTTCTTTGTTCTGTTTTATTTTTGTTTTAATCTGAGAGAGAGTGTGAGAGCAGAGGAGAGAGGAAAGGGAGGGAGAGAGAGGGGAAGAAAGAATCTTAACTAGGCTCCATGCTCAGCACAAAGCCTGACATGGGCGGGGCTCAATCCTATGACCCTGGGATTAGGACCTGAGCTGAAATCAAGAGTCAGATGTTTAATCAACTGAGTCACCCAGGCATCCTGATGAATAGACATCTTTATCGCCATATGGCAGTCCCAATTTATTAATCTTTTCCTTTATATTTTGTGCTTTTTGTATCTTAAGAAATATTTCCCTCCCTGAGGTCACAAAGATATTCTCCCACATTGTCTTCTAAAGTTTTCTAGTTTGTCTCTTTCATATTTAATTTGAATCAACTTAGAATTAATTTTTTTTGATAGGTATGAGGAAAGAATCCAATTTTATTCTTTATAGATAACCAATTGCCACAGGATCATTTAAGAGTTTATTGGTTTTCTACTCAGTATTCCATTTCTATCTCCGTGCCAGTGTAACAGTGACTTACCTGTTGTAGC